TTTCACTCAAAATTTCTGCTCTGCACTCAAAATTTCGGCTCTTCGCACAAAATTTCTGCTCTTCACTCAAAATTTCTGCTCTTCACCCAAAATTTCTGCTCTTCACCCAAAATTTATCGCTCAAAATTTCTGCTCTTCGCTCAAAATTTCTGCTCTTCGCTCAAAATTTCTGCTCTTCGCTCAAAATTTCTGCTCTTCGCTCAAAATTTCTACTCCTCACTCAAAATTTCTGCTCTTCGTTCAAAATTTCTGCTTTTCACTCAAAATTTCTTTTCGTCACCCGAAGATTCTGCTCTTCCTCAAAATTTCTCATTTTTATTCAAAATTTCTGCTTTTTATTGAAAATTTCTGCTCTTCACTCCAAAAATTTTGCTCAAAATTGCCCATAAATGGCGAGCCACGGCTTGTTCATGCAATGCACCGCTCGCTGTAGATGAGGACCAAAGCCGAACGCAAATTTTGAAGAGCGTAATTTCCTGACGATATCGGATTTGCGGGGATTTGGGGACAGGGAAATTGAGGGATTTACGGTTCATAGAAAGATAAAAAAAGGGTCAAAAATGAACCGTGGCTCTGATGACATTTTCCAGTGTGGCGCTCGTATAAAGAGGAGTTGGCGAGGCTATGACACGTGCAGGAATCGTTTAAGGCTTTTTCATAATTAGATTTATTTGATTTAATGAATATGGAATTAATAATGGACTAGTAAAGGCTTGATTCACAATCAGGTCTTAGTTGATGCACTTTTTTTTGTAATGCTGATTTAGCGATACAACTTAAGGTTTCAGAATGAGCGTCGTTTTTAACTTTTGATTTTCCAATAAAATTTACTTTATTTGCTAAAACTTTCCGGATGTTTACGGATGTTTGGGTTCCATTTCCTAATCAAGTTGTGGGTTGGCCATTTATAGAAATTTGATTATTTTAAAGTGATTTCAGTTGATATAAATAAACTGACGTATTGGCTTACTGTGTGCCTTATTACAGGACCAACTGAGTTGAGTTGGATAAAAAATAGCAATCATTCAGCAAATTGTTGAATTAAATCTTGCTTGCTCTTTTGAACCGTACCAGTGCAAGCTATCATTTTCAAATGCATGCGCATGTATAAAGTTTGTTAACGTTTCTCGTTTTATGTATTCGGTTCAGAAATGTGTGCTTATTTGAAAACTAAATTCATGAATATCATAGTAATTAAAGTATTAATAATTTCGGGAGTTGGAATTTCTTTCAATGAGCCGCACTTGGCCTTACGATTACAATAATGCATGCAAATAACATTACGAGTTCACCTTAATAAAAACAGTTAAATGAGCAACATCGATATATGGAATTGCTTTGACGAAAGCAAACTGCGCCGTAATATTTGATGTCCGTTCAAGTCTGATATGAAGGACCTTTTAGCATTGGATGAAAGGTCCCAAAACGCATCCAAGTTTCCCCGTTAGCGAGAGCTGCATGCGATGCACAACGTTTGCTTCCACAAAGTTGGTTTCTTAATCGTCCAAACAAATGATCATGTTAGTTGAAACGCAGTTTGTGGTTTCCCTACCAACATTAGCATAAGTGTTGAAGTAAACAGCATGCACAGCCCCAGCGGGGCCGAAACTTTTGCCATTATCGTGTGAGATGCACGACATTATCGTGTGAGATGCACGACTCGTGGCCGACTGCAGTCGCCTTGTTTTGAATGAAGGTTTGGTGGTGTTGACTTTAGTGGTGTGTTGATATTTGTGTTGTGTAGACATTGGTGTTGTGTTGATTGTGGTGACGTGTTGACTTCGGTAGTATGTTAACTTTGGTGGTGTGTTGATATTGGTGTAGACATTGGTGGTGTGTTTGTTGACTTTGATGGTGTGTTGATTGTGGTGGTGTGTTGACTGTGGTGGTGTGTTGAATGTGGTGGTGTGTAGATATTGGTGGTGTGTTGATTGTGGTGGTGTGTTGATTGTGGTGGTGTGTTGATTGTGGTGGTGTGTTGATTGTGGTGGTGTGTTGATTGTGT